AAAGTATGCTCACTTTCAAAACAGTGCATCCATCTGTATGGCTGCTAGACACCTAAATGCACCACAGTTTCTTGAGAGATTGTCTATAAAACTGTTAAGGCACTTATTGATACTATAGATGTACCCTTGATCCAAGTAGCCAAAATACACACGTGTAACAGATAACTCTTTGGAGAGTGTAACCATCCTCCACTGATATTTTAAAGCCAACGGTAACAGAGAGAAGTGGGCAGGGACACACACAAGGGCATAACCGAAGTGGTAGTTTCAGGCTAAGAATATCAAGTAATTGTATAAAATTAAGACTCACTCCTATCTTGAAAATATCATGTCAAAAAAATAAAACATAAAGGGAACCATTTGCTTAACTCAAAGGAAACAGAGAACTGGTTCAAAAAGATCAAGTTATTATCCTGACGAGATTGTAGGGAAGGGCAATTATCTCACAACATATGGAAAACTGGTGAACTTTCTGTGGGACCATGATGTATGCCTCTGTGAATTTGTTATCAGACCTAAAAATAGACCAAGCATTTATTTTTAGACTCCAACTAATTTGAAAATGCGACAAAAAGAAGGATTATCTCCCAAAATTGGCTATTAAAATATCTTTTTAAGTACAGTACTAATAATACCTAGAGGTTACACTTTTAGGTATTATATATATTGAGATAAATTAAAAATACTGTTTATGGGAAAATTAACCTAAAATACATTTATAGGTAGTAATTCTTTTACCTATATATATATATAAATAATGTAAACAGAAGCTGCCAAGATGACTCTATCTACTCTAATTTATATCCACCATGAGCTTCTTGTCAGTCACACAATGCCATGCTTTAATTCCTGACTTTGAATGGTTACAAAAGTAAATGTAGCTCTGTAAACATTATCAGCACCAACATACAGCATATCACGGAGGGTGAAATGAAACAAGGTTTTATTTAACTAAAATCAAATTTCTTGACTCCTCTGCATTCAAATTTCAAATCTCTCTATCTTTCTTTCCAAACTAAGAAAAAGAGATACAATTAAAATCCCATTCATTGTTCTTCTATCATTCAGAACTGACACATAAAATATGTCCAAAGTGAAACTCTCTCCTTATATACCACATATAATATGTACTATGAGAAAGCCACTTAGTTATATAGAGATATTTCAATTAACTCACAACTTTATTACTTAAAAATATATCCTACAAATACCCCATGCTTATTTCTAACAGACAAAGTAATGGGAGTAGTTTGACCTTTCTCACAGGGACAGATGCAGATTTTTTTAGGGCCAGAAGTATATATAATTTTGCTAACCTTCAAGAAACGTAATACAAAATTCCTAATGCAAAATTAGGTACAGGACCTAGGAAAGGGCATGTCTAAGTAACGGGCACTGAAGCTTACATTTCATTAGCTTTTAGGGGATTCACAAGGGCATAACCAAAGTCCCTGTGTACAGCAGACAGTTAATTTTTAATATTTCTCTGATTATATTGCATAATAAGTTGGACCAAAATATCATTCATTCCAATCACATACTACCTTTCATTACCTGCTACTCTGACCTTTAGTTTTCCATCTTTTCATAACCCACTCCTCAATTATAAGAAATCAGCTATAGGTCAAAGATGCTCCCTTTCTCAGTTAGCATTACATTCATCTCAAATAGAGATAATAAGTTTCCTGAAGACTGATTCAGTTCAACATAGAATTCTATTGAGTTATGTAATTATATACTCATGTTAACCATCTGACGATATATCAAACAGCAACTGGGGAAACAACTGTACCAGACGCATAAAACAATGTAGAAACTTGTTTCAACTTGCATATCTTAGTGTTAGGGAAACTGCCGTGAATTGGAAATGTAATTTAATAATCTGTCCTATTTTTGTGCCAGCAGAGGCAGGGGAGATATGGTATAACCACGTATGCAAATGTGTGCATACACACATCTAACGCTTATGTTTGGCATTGGAGTCAGCCATCTTTTCTAGGGCAAATCTTTAATCTCCTAAAGAAAGATAAGAAGAGGGTCTACTCCTAGCTGACCAAGACACCAGTTATAATACTCAGTTTTCTTCATTCAATCTTAGAAAAATCTCAGAAAGCTAGTCTAATATTTTTTAAAAGGGGTCAAAAACGTTTACTGAAATATTCCTAATTGTGTAAGGAGAATCATTCCATTTCTCCTAGCAAATTGTTTTAGCTTTGGAGGTCTTTACTAGATCTACTAAATTCATATTTAAATACTTGAGAATCTATGTACCAAAAGAGCAGAACATTTGAAAATAGTATATTAGCCGTCGTAAACTATATTGGCTACTTTTACTTTTTTGTGTTACAATAAACTGATAAAATGTATTTAAACATTTGAATATGCACACTGGTACAAATGTATATCACATCTAACAGTTCGATATATGAGAAAAATATATATGAGAAAAAATTTTCCTAAATATATGAGAAAAAATTACTTAGCATAAAAATATATATACATATAAAAGTGTGTAGGAGAGTTTTCAAACTAGAATCTGCTTGAAATAATACCATTCCAAATAAATGTTACGACTATTGAATGGATGATTACAGAAGCCCTGTATCTTGTCATGATGTATCCTAAGGATAAGCAGATATACAACTTAATCCTCATCGCTTTAAAAAAAAAATTACTGGGCTTCCCTGGTGGCGCAGTGGTTGGGAGTCCACCTGCCGATGCAGGGGACACGGGTTCGTGCCCCGGTCCGGGAAGATCCCACATGCCGCGGAGCGGCTGGGCCTGTGAGCCATGGCCGCTGGGCCTGTGCGTCCAGAGCCTGTGCTCCGCAACGGGAGAGGCCACAACAGTGAGAGGCCCACGTACCGCAAAAAAAAAAAAAAAAATTACTGACTGACTTTCCATCTGGTTAAAATGGTATTACAATGGCATTAGAAATTTAACAATGCAAAAATCATTTTTTAAAATGATGAAAATAATAATGAATATGTAATCTAGTTAGCTTGTATAATGACATATTTAAAGAGAAATTAGAACTAAAACTAAAATAACTAAAATGAGGAGACCTATCTTCCACTTTTGATATAAGCACATTAACCTCAGGAATAATTAGTAACTATACAAACTTCTCCATGAGACTTTACCATTTTCTGTTTCATTAGGGGAAAAAAACAATTCCAGGAGAGTTTGCTGGTTTAGATTACATGGGCCTAGACTGTACAAAAGAATATAAAGGAAATCTGTTTTCACCTACAGGAACAATTTAGTGGGGACAGATGTAGACAAACGGATATAAGCTGTACAGACTACAGATCAAATTCTGAAAATCCATGGTAAGAGAAAAAGGAAGGAATTTTTATAAATTCACTTAAAGACCCAAACACTACGTTTGGCTGAAAAAATTTCAATCTCCGATAGATATTAAATTGAAATTTAATTAAATGAAATTTAATTAACTGAATTAAATTTTGAAATCGAAATTAACGAATTGAAAATTAATTAATTGAAATTGCCTCAAATTATCACCATTTCTACTTTGACCAACTGTCTATGAACTCTGTATATCTGCTCTTAATGATTTTAATCAGTGTAATTCTTCCAAAAATTCTTCTTTTCAAATGGACAAAAATTACGGAATGAAAAAATTCTGGCCATGACTATTTACTCTGAGACTTAAGTAAATAATGGTTAACAAATTTCATCATTATATTATTCTTATTTGAAAACTCCACAGTATTTTCTAAACCCAGCATAGTAATACCTGTCTGAATATATACATTTCATGTACAGTTTCTTTCAGTGAATTTATCAGTTATCGCTTTTACTTTGTCAGGAAATTACTGATAAAGCCTAGAGAGAGAAACGGAAACATTCTTAGAAACATCAGTTGTAAATCTTATTTAGCAGTGACATTTCTTCCTTAATTTTTATCTAAATATATGTATTTTCCTAATTGATCTGGACAGTTTTGTCCAAAGAGATATTTTAACAATATAAAATGTATAAAGAAAACGTAAAACTGTCAAAATTCATCACCATGTAAAAACAGCTATGAGATTTTTTAAAAATGTTCAGAAACACTAACAATGTATGTAGAGCTACAGAGTTGGGCATAATATTTTGGGCATTTTCTTTCTTGGTGACTTCTGTCTTCTGTTGATATTGTAACTTGAAGATTTAAAAATGCACACATTTAAATGTATTTATCAAAGAGTAAATTATTAGTGAAACACATGATCATGCTTAAGAGGATTCAATACCAAACTGACTACTGTTTTGCTCTAAGACAGGCGTTACATCCTTTCCTGATCAATTAGGCTGCCATGAAAACAAATGGCATGTAACTACAGAGCTTCCTGATAATGAGTGAAAAAAATCCTAACATAGTAAATTCTCAAGCATTTTTTTTACTTAAACATAATTCCTGGATTTGCCTCATAAACAATAGCCCTTAGAAACTCTTGTTTAATGTATTCATCAAAATCAGGCATACCCCTAAGTTTTTTTTCTTTTTCAAAATGCTCTGGGTATAATCCATTAAAACATGTATGATATCCAAGTTGATATCTGTGGGAAGCAATGCAATGCCAATGTAAAATAAATTTCTTTCTTTCCTCTGTCCATAATGATGACATACACTTTTTTTTTCCCCAGAAGAGTAGAAAACAATTTTCCCAGTAATCTATAGTATATAAAAATTGTTTTTACAAAACCCATATTAAAGAAAACATCTCAGTTTTCAGTCTGCAGGTTCTTAGCCATAAGATATGTTATAGAGAAAGACCACTAAAGTAATTGCCATTCTGTAGTCTTTTATCCTAACCTCAACAGGTAGGTATCAGGGACTCAATGATCACGTGAACTTATGGTATAATTGCATACCAGTGTTCTATAACCACATGGAGTAATAACTACATTTCTTAGAAGATCCATTTTTTGTTTCAGCCCTCTGGGCAGAAACAAAGCCAAGGATAGACTGCCAAGACTTCAAATGCATTAATTTATATTTTATGACAATCTTCTTCTGGTACAACTTCCAGTATTATTTGTAATGTTCTGGTTGTAACGTCTACAAAGAAATAAAGAAGAGAAATTTAAAATGCACAGAAATCAGAAATGCATAAAAACAGCAAAATGCAAATTATTTGGGATTGAATACTGAAAACTCACACCCGCCTATCTCATAGAGCACTTTCAAGAATTATTTATTTCATTAGAATCCTATCATGCTCAATTAATTTATTAGTCACCTCTGTAACTTCCCATGATGGCTTCTCAGCAAAAGTACATTAATACCGGGGCTTCCCTGGTGGTGCAGTGGTTAAGAAGCCGCCTACCAATGCAGGGGACACGGGTTCGAGCCCTGGTCCGGGAAGATCCCACATGCTGCGAAGCAACGAAGCCTGTGCGCCACAACTACTGAGCCTGCCCTCTAGAGCCCGCGAGCCACAGCTACTGAGCCCACGTACTGCAACTACTAAAGCCTGTGTGCCTGGAGCCTGTGCTCTGCAACAAGAGAAGCCACAGCAATGAGAAGCCCGTGCACCGCAACAAAGAGCAGCCCCCGCTCGCCACAACTAGAGAAAGCCTGCGCGCAACAACGAAGACCCAGTGCAGCCAAAAATAAAAATAAAAAAATAAAATTTATTTTAAAAAAATACATTAATATTTTGCGTTCAGGTAAGGACTTTTATTCCTGAACCAGGAGGCTGAAAATATTTTGAGACCATAGGACCAAGATATAAATAAATGTTCAAAAATATACCTCATATTGAGTCTAAAATTGGTTTGTTGTTTTTGCACCTATGAGAGTACATCCAACTCCTCAGCAAAATCAGAAGAATCAGATTATAATTTCCAGTCTCAAACTTGCAGTGTATTATTGAGCAAAACATTTTATCTCCTAGGGCCTCATTTGCCTCCTCTATAGAATGGGGGGGACTTGGGAGTGATGTCAGCAAGACGGAGGGCCGGGAGCCCCCCACCCCCCAAAACAAGCAAACAGAAAAGAAAACCAAGAACAATAAACAGTTACAAATGCAAGAAAACAGCTCAGGGAAAGCACTAGACAACAAAGAAGCAGCAGCAAAAAACCTGGCAGAGCTCAAAAATCAAGGATGGCCACAGACAAAAGCAAAGGAAGCATTTTGTCCCCATCACTCCGTCCGCCAGTCGGGAGCTGCTGGGCAGCAGGAGGAATCCTCTCAGGAAGGTCACCACATGGCGAGAAGGAGAGAAGAAGGACCACAGCGAGCCTCGCCATTGTGGAGGTCTGCAGCTTTTGGTACAAGAGTCTCTCAGTCTTCAGTGATGCTGACCCTAGCTGATGGAGCAGCCTGCAGTAACCCCCTCTTCTGGATCTACTCCCAGAGGCTGGAGACGTTGCTGAGGTGAGACCTGCCCTCAGGGGTCCCAGTTGTTGCCGTGCCCCACTCTCACACATTGGGTACCACAGCCCATCTCCACATAGGACACCAGAGCTGCCATTGCAGCCCCAGGTTGGGGCCTTGCTCCACCCCAGCCCCAGGCTGGGGCCTTGCTCCACCATCACCAAGGCAATCGCCCTGACCTGAGCCGTGCCTCCTGGGTCCCAAGTCATGCTTTGGCTGCCCGAATTGGCTGTTGCCCTGTGCCTCACCCCCCTGCCCCAACCCAGGTCAAGACTTTGAACTGTCATTGTTGAGATGAGTTCTTACTGCCTCCCAGGTTCCAGGTTCTGGCTCTGACTCATCATTGCTAAGGGCAATGCCACTATCCTGAGTCTCACCCCCATGGCAGGTCTGGTCAAGGCTGAGACCCTTCATTGCTGGGACTGGGCTGCCTCTACCCTGAGCTCCGTCTCTATCCCAGATTGAGGCTCTTGAGCCATCTTTGCCAGGGGTGCTACCACTGCTCTGAGCCCCGCCCCTCAGATTTCAGGTCAGGACTCTGACCCATGGAGGCTGGGACCAGGCTACCACTGCCCTGAACTTCACCTCCCATCCCAGGTTGTGGCTCTGAACTGTCACTGCCAGGGCCTTGCTGCCACTACCCTGTGCCCAGTTCCCTGAGTCCCAACACACAGCTTTAACAAACAACTACCAGAGTTGTACTATTGCTAGCCCGTGAGCGCTCCCAGCGGGCGGTGGGAGGGGTGGGGCAGAGGTCAGACTTTGACCTACTACTGCACTCTGCATTTTCTGCCCAAGCCACCACTGTACCTTGTCATCCCAGGGCCCTCGTCACTGCCATACTCCCTCTCACCAGCACAAGTCACAGTAGTGGGCCCTTGAGACCCAAGTACCAGTTCCATAGGATATCCGCACATGTCCATGCCCGAGACACCTGTGTCACAGCCACAGCAAGCGTGCCTATGCTCCAGGACCCGGGCACTGTGGTAGTTCCATGTGTGCCTGATCCCCGGGCCTCTGCTCTGAGAACTCTGAGTGTCAGCACATCGGACCAGGCACCAGGAGGGGTCTCCTCAAACAGAGGCTCCTCCCAAGAGCGAAAGAGCAGAGGAACGCAGGAAGATGTCAGCAGCCTTAGCCTCTGAAGGTACCAATAGCCCTACCTGCCACCTATAGGTCCTCTGCAGTCTGAGCCATATAAGAACCCCACATTCCGGCCAATTTCAGCCTCAGCCAGTGGAGTGGCATGGAGACTACATCGCTGTGCCTTCTCGGGAACCAAAGACACTGCATCCCAGTCAGCAGGTGCTCTAACAGCCACCTCCAGGTGGAAAGTCTTTCCCCACTGAAGCCAGTCTGAAAAGACCGGAAGAGGTGATTTCATCCTCAAATGCACAGATATCAACACAAACCCATCAGAAACATGAAAAAGCAAGGAAACATGACATCACCAAAGGAATGCAATACCACTCCATTAACTGCCCCTAAGGAAATAAAGATCTGTGACCGATCTGAGAAAGAATTCAAAATAATGATTTGAAGGAAGCTGAGTGATATGTGAGAGAACACAGACAGATCAATGAACTCTGGAACAGTACATGAACAAAATGAGACATTCAACAAAGAAACAGAACTCATTAAAAAAAAAAAAAATCAGAAATTTTGGAGAAAAATACAATGAATGAAATGAAAAATGTAATAGCTTTGACGAGTAGAGGCTCAATCAGGCAAAAGAGAGAATCTTCGAGCTTCAAGACAGACCTCTTGATATTTTCCACTCGGAGGAAAATAAAGAAATTAGAATCAAAAAGAAGAAAGCCTGCAAGAACTGTGGAACATGATCAAAAGAAAAATTAGCCATATTATGGGAGTCCCAGAAGGAGAAGAGAAGGAGAAAGATACATAAAACTTATTTAAAAATATAATGGCTGAAAACTTTCAAATCTGGGGAGAGATACAGCCATCAAGGTACAAGAAGCTCAAAGATCCCCAAACCGATTCAACCCAAAGAGGTCTTCACTGAGCCCCATTATAGTCAAGCTCTCAAAAATCAAAGACAGAAAGGGAACCTTGAAAGCAGCAAGACATCAAAGAATCATCACATATGAGGGAATCTTGATAAGGCTATCAGCAAAGGTCTCAGCAGAAATCTTACAGAGAGAATGGGATGATATATTCAAAACGCTCAGAGAAAGAAAACTACCACCAAGATAACTTCACCCAGAAAAGCTGTCATATAGAAATGAAGGAGAGAGAAAGACTTTCCCAGGTCGACAATAGCTAAAGGAATTTGTAGTCATTAGACCTGCCCTACAAGAAATGCTAAAAGGAGTTCTTTAAGCTGAAACCAAAATATGCTAATCAGTAGCATGAAAATATATGAAAGTATGAAGAAGAGGGAACACTTCCAAACTCATTTTATGAGGCCAGCATTACCCTGATACTAAGTCCAGACAAAGACACTATAAGAAAAGAATATTACTGACCAATATCCCTGATGAATACAGATGCAAAAATTCTCAACAAAATTTTAGTCACCCAAATTCAACAACACATTAAACGGATCATTCACCATGATCAAGTGGGTTTTATCTCTGGAATGCAAGGATGCATTCAACATAGTACTAAGCCAGAGCAATTAGGCAGAAAAATAAATAAAATGTATCCATATTAAAAAGGAAGGGCTTCCCTGGTGGCACAGTGGTGGAGTGTCTGCCTGCCGATGCAGGGGACACGGGTTCGTGCCCCGGTCCAGGAGGATCCCACATGCTGCAGAGCGGCTGGGCCCGTGAGCCATGGCCGCTGAGCCTGCGCGTCCGGAGCCTGTGCTCCGCGACTGGAGAGGCTGCAACAGTGAGAGGCCCGCGTACAGCAAAAAAAAAAAAAAAAAGGAAGAAGTAAAATGATCTCTGTTCACAGATGACATGATCTTATATAGAAAATCCCAAAGACCCCTAAAAAACTGTTAGAAATAATAAATAAATTCAGTAAAATTGCAGGATACAAAATTGACACACAGAAATCAGTTGTATTACTATACATTAACACTGAATTATCTGAAAAAGAAATTAGAAAGCAATCTCATTGACAATAGCATCAAACAAATTAAAATACCTAGGAATAAATTTAACCAAGGAGGTGAAAGACCTGTATACTAAAAGCTGTAAGACTTTAAGGAAAGAAACCGAAGAAGACACAAACCAAAGGAAAGATACCCCGTGTTCCTAGATTGAAAGAAGTAATATTGTGAAAATGTCCATATGACCCAAAGTGGTCTACAGATTCAATGCAATCCTGATCACAATTCCACTGACATTTTTCACAGAAATAGGAACAAACCATCCTAAAATTTATTTAGAGCCAAAAAGTAATCCTAAGAGAGAAGGACAGAGCTGGAGGCACTATAATACCTGATTTCAAGCTATATTATAAACTTATAGCGATCAAAACATTATGGGGACTTCCCTGGTGGTCCAGTGGTAAAGAATCCACCTTACGATGCAGGGGACGTGGGTTCGATCCCTGGTCAGGGAACTAAGATCCCACATGCAGTGCGGCAACTAAACCCACATGCCCCCAACTACTGAGCTCGCGCACCTCAAGGAGAGAGCCCGAGTGCTGCAAACTATAGCGCCCACGCGCTCTAGAGTCTGCGCGCCACAACTAGAGAAGAGAAAAC